CCCAGACTGTCAGGCCACAGCCACCTACGCGTCCCCAGACTGTCAGGCCACAGCCACCTACGCGTCCCCAGACTGTCAGGCCACAGCCACCTACGTGTCCCCAGACTGTCAGGCCACAGCCACCTACGTGTCCCCAGACTGTCAGACACAGCCACCTACACGTCCCCAGACTGTCAGACCACAGCCACCTACGTGTCCCCAGACTGTCAGGCCACAGCCACCTATGTGTCCCCAGACTGTCAGGCCACAGCCACCTACACGTCCCCATGGCTGTCAGATCACAGCCACCTACGCGTCCCCAGACTGTCAGGCCACAGCCACCTATGTGTCCCCAGACTGTCAGACCACAGCCACCTACGTGTCCCCAGACTGTCAGACACAGCCACCTACACGTCCCCATGGCTGTCAGATCACAGCCACCTACACGTCCCCAGGGCTGTCAGGCCACAGCCACCTACATGTCCCCAGGGCTGTCAGATCACAGTGACCTACTTATCCCCAGGGCTGTCAGGCCACAGCCACCTACGCGTCCCCAGACTGTCAGACCACAGCCACCTATGCATCCCCAGACTGTTAGACCATAACCACCTACGCATCCCTAAACTGTCAGACACAGCCACCTACACGTCCCCAGGGCTGTCAGACCATAGCCACCTACGCGTCCCCAGACTGTCAGACCATAGCCACCTACGCATCCCCAGACTGTCAGACCACAGCCACCTATGCATCCCCAGACTGTTAGACCATAACCACCTACACATCCCTAAACTGTCAGACACAGCCACCTACACGTCCCCAGGGCTGTCAGACCACAGACACCCACACATCCCCAGACTGTCAGACCATAGCCATTCACGTATCCCCAGACTGACAGACATAGCCACCTACATGTCCCCAGGGCTGTCAGACCACAGCCACCTATGCGTCCCCAGACTGTCAGACCACAGACACCCACGTCCCCAGACTATCAGACACAGACACCTATGCCCCTGTTCTGAATGGCTGATATGGCCTTGGCCACTTTTCTCAGATCGAGAGAGCAGAATTCCCGGTCCTGGAGCCACCCTTCCATGTGGAGGCTGGCTCCAGCCCACATGTGCTGTCAGCAGCATCTGGCCAGCTCAGTCCAATTGCCTGACCCCATCCAGCACCAGCCACCGGGGGTCAGGCTTCAGTGGGAGCTGGCCTCAACAGTGTGCTCAACTTCCCAGGTGCCAAAGGATTCTCGGGGTCTCTGGTCCAGGGATGAGGTTCAACTACATCTCCCTAACCTCCGTGCTCTGTCTGCCTCCAAAGGCAGAGGATGCAGGGAGTCTTAGCGGGGTGTGGGGTGCAGGCTCCTGGGGAAGCTGTGAACACTGGGTGGGTTTGAAGGTCCCTGCGTTCACACCTCTGAGATGAGGAGAGACTCGAACCTGTAGTACCTCGGCAGCAGGTGGTCAGTATCTTCACCCCTAGGGGACACAGGACATGGGAATCTTCTAATGGTTGGCCACATAGGCTCTGCTGCACCTTGAGGCTGGCTGCTGGCTACTGCCCAGGGCCAAGTCTCTGACTGGGCCTGGGATATCTCAGGTACACCCTCTGCAGAGACTCCCCAATTCTGCCTTTCCCACTTTCTCTGCCTCACTGGGTGACATATCCATAGGCT